TATACAGACCATGTTGGTTGATACTCTGTTTTAAACATATCAAGTTAGGTATGAGACACAAAATTTCTCTGTATTCGTTCCAAGATTAGATTAGGGTAGTTAACCCTTCTAATGGTTACTGAACTCCACAGAAGCTGGTGCTATGAAATGTTCAAAATAGCTCTTCTTTAGGCCTTCATTCAATACGTCCCAGAATTGAGGATCAGATGTGATCCTCTCTATACTCATGCCTTTGATAGTATAGATAACAAAGTCACACCAACTTGCTCCTGTAATACCTAGTTGACCCTGTATCTGAAAGTAGTACTGGTGCCCCCTTTTTAGCCTCGGCTTTCCATTTCCATTTTCTGCATAAAAAGTTTCATCGGCACATGCTTCTAAAGGACTCACATGAAATTTAGAGTAGGGACATTTAACCTCCACCAGCCCAAAAGGCTTGCTACAGCCTCGGTCAATGACCTTTCCATCTGGTGATGCTGCTAAAAAGGGAGAGGCCATACTGACAACAAGGCCACTTTTGAACACTGAAACTGGGTTCCTTGTTGAAAACGTATATTTTTCATATTCTCTTAAGGCTACAGGCTCATAGGTTTTCCCATGTGCAGTTTGTTTGGCAGTGAATGGTTTGGGATGAAGCAGATTATTTACTAGAGTGTTATGATTCCTTTGCCTTTTTACAATTGTGTGGAAATTAGATGCTGTATACCGAAATTTCCTTTCAGCCTGCCATTCCTGTGAGGCTGCTTGTTCACTTGTTTTCTTCTCTATGGTATTAAGCTTTGCCTCATCAACAATCAAATGATCAGGAGTGCTTCCTGGTTGCTGCTTAAATCATCTGGCTTTTCATACTGCTCAGATTGTTGCAAAGGGAATGGAGGATATACGGAAATAGCATTTTGTTCATCATTACAGTCCACTCTAGGCACGGAGTCAATATTACAGAAAACTTGAAAATTAGACTCTGTGAACTGTAACTGGTAACTTGCATATGAGCCACTTGGACATTTTCCAAATTTTGTTTCCTGTAAGTTGGTATCACCAGTAGACATAATTTGAGACAAGGTAAACTTAGGGTTGATCTCTTGAAGCTTGTTTTTTGACAAAGCTTCATCAGATGCTTGTGTACCCAAATTTTTCCTAGCTTCATACAACAAGCACCTTACTCCACTATCAGGGTTATACTCTGTGTCTATATTCGACTTTTTTATCTCAAGTTCCATGACAGGTTGGGGCTTGATTTTATCTCCTCTTACAGGCCTGTGCCATAGTTGTAAACTTGAAGTGCATGCCTTAGCTTGTGTCATATCAGACTCATTTTCCAAGTCCTTAATATCTTGACAACAATACAAGCTGAACTTACAGAGTTTCATCATAACAGCTAGCACATGATTGCAAAAACCAACAGATCCTGCTACACATGTACACGAAGCATATTTAACAACTCCACTCACTAAATAAAGTGCAACTTGTAATTTGTGGGGTGGCTCATTTTTTTTAAAGCTATGGTAACACAAGCATTTGAAATAGAAATATTGGTCATCACTTGCGCAAGTTAAGTCTTTCAGGTATTCATCATCAAGAAATGTTTTTGCCTTTTTCATGCTTGTTGGAACAGCATGGTTCTGTTTATTTCTGTCAAAGTTTTTTCCAGATTTAGAAATATGTAAATCCATCTCTGCCCTTGTGAATAATGGCATTCGTTGCAAACTTGTAGACTATCCGGCTGATGGAAATTTAACAGTACTTTCCTCAGGCATCGCATCACTTTGAGCGAGTTGTTCTTGTCTCGCCTTTCGACGCGTGTATATCAGATTTTTATCAGGATCCACAACATCTTTATCACGACCAGACGCAACATATTCAAGAACTCTTCAAAATGAAAAGTAGAAAAACTATTAATCATTACATTTTTGAAACATTTCATCGAGAAAAATAACTCCTAAATCTTTTGATCTCCATTTACAATATCAAAGTCTCTTTTAATTCTAAAAAGTATCACGAATGACTGACAAATACTGTACTTACCTTTTCGACAATTGTGCCTTTGTTTTTAACCCCTTTGCTGGATCGCCACGACATTTTAACCAAAAGCGAAGTTCATCTGTTTTAAGAGCAGTCGGATTTCTTCCCTGAAGCGATGCTCCGGGGATATCTTCCTCCGTAAGACTCTGAGAAAGACGACTACTTACAAAGCCATGAGCGGCCATATTTCTAACACGAGTAAACAAGGCCCAACTAGCCTCGTTTTCAAGTTGATCGCTCCCAGTCTCTTTTCGTTCTGCATAGGATGAATGTTAAGACTCAGCTTTCCAAGAATGGAGAGCACATCCGCCAAAAAGTGGCAAAAAGCTGCACACTAAACATTTCTCATCTTCTTTGAAATGGATTTTTCATGACCTTTGATCTCAGTGCTGCTTGAGGAAGTACTTGAGTGTTCCATATGGCAAAGTACAAGTGACAAGTTGGTTCTTCTGATATTTTAGCATCGCCCGACTTGATAAACACTTTCAACTCTTGGCTGACGTCTGGCAACCATTGTATCCCAAGTACTTGAGTTGGTTTTTAGTGCTTCTTTGTTTAGCTCACTTGCGAGAGCCTTCAAATCGCGTGAACTTTTGACGCTATAGTGGTGAGTCTTCCACACAAGGTTAAGCACATCACAGACCTCTTTGACTGACTTGCAACTCTTTTGCATTTCCAGGAGAGCAAGTTCAAGTCTGTGAGGCAGACAGTGGAAGACTACATGATCTGGAATATCCTTTCTCATCAACACCGCTACTCCTCCCTTCTTTCCAAGGTCAACACTTGCCTCATCCGCTCTGAACGCGACAACTCTTCTATCCCACTCAGTGATATCATCACTATGGCTTACAATTGCTTCTTTAATTCCTACAAGAATCATTACAAAAAGAAAGAGGTTGTCTAAAGACGATATTAAAAATGAAGACTTCATTCACTGTTCAATGAACCGTTTCTAAGGCTCAGAAATGGCACCCTTTCAACCATGAGAATGCATGCATTTAAATTATGGTGTGCGTTATGTATGTCAGATCCCCGTATCGTAGTTACCTTGGTGTTTTTTTTAAACATGACTTCGTTCTACCTCGCCATATTCACTCACCTCCTTTCAATGTTGAACTGAAGTACTTTTCTTTTACTCTGTTCACCTTGCCGAGATACTTTACCCTTATTATTATTATCTAACTTATCTTTCAGGTACAACTACAAGGTAGAAAGTTGAATGGGTAGCAGATAGAGGATGTGTCATTTTACTGGCTGGTCCATTTACCAAAAGGAATAGATTCAATTATAAGTATATAATAAACTTACCCTCGGCATGAGCATGTGTGACAGCCTTGTGTCCCCATATGCAGATTACAGGCACTCCATCTCTCACAAAGCGGCAAACTACTGTTTCATTCTCAGTACCTCCAAAGTCAGCCGTTCTATCTGCCATTAAACTGAAGTAATTCTTCCATTTTAGCACGTGAATGGGGTCATTCCTAAAGCCTTCTGACAAAAAGGAAACAAGTTCTGCACAGCTTTTCTTGTTTGCATATATGTTATTTAGTACGACTCCATTTTTGCTCTGCGACATCAGTAACCCCTCAAATTTTGAAAAAGGTAGCTCTTCTTTAGTAATAAAGTAAGTGGTGTTGATTTTGGCTTCCATCTCTTTCCACCCTTGAGATTGCATGTCTTTGTTTATCTTTGAAAATGACTCAACAATCTGGCTTTCCACAATCGACTTTTTCTTTGCCTACAACATATCCCTTGCACAAATATGACCATTGCTGTTGGCGTGCTTCCTGATGGTTTCTTTTTTTAGGTTGAAACATCCTTTCAAAAAAAGTCTGTCTTACCGGCTTCACTTGAATTTGCACAGCACAAGTTGCAAATCATCACATTTTCTTCAGCATCGAATCAGAGCCAGGGAAATTCTTCTTTCCATTTTGGGTTAAATTTCTGTAATGTGCTTGCCTTTTCTTTAACTGCTTGTTTCTTTAGACTAGGTGATTTTGATAATAGACCTGTTGAAGTGTCGTTTATGAAGCTGGAAAACAGTTTTGGATCTTCACTTTAGGCCTCTTTGATACACTTGATCCTAGTTGAAAACCAAAGTCTTTAAGATGTCCTCTTTGCTGGATGGATCACTTGGTCTAGAACTCTTCTTTCCCTCATTCTCTTTAACTGACGTCTTTCCACTTTCCAGACGTCCCATGCTACCCTGGATACTGTCTTCCTGATCAGGCTTTTCCGATTGACATTTTTGTTTTTTTTGTCCAGTTAGGTACAAGGGACAGAATTAGGCGGCTCCGTTGAAGAGAAAGGTTAGATTGCATTGTGCAGGCTGGGCAGACTGAGTGGTTTGTATGAGACATATAAAGGGTCACCCCCTGGTGTCGTTGGTCAGTTTTCAACTGTTTAATGTGCACCATTCAGTAGTGCTGACGGTCCAGACACTGATGAGAAGTGACGTCACAGAGGGCAAGATGGTGTTAGGGGTTAAAGCGCTCCTTGGGGTGTAATAGGGACCTTCAGCAAAGAGACTTTTCAGGACGGCGACAGCGCCCGGAAGTGAAGTTTTACTTCCGTTTGAGGTCGTTCATTTGGTGTGAAGGCACCGACCTCAAAAGGCTTGTTTTCACGGTGTGCAGAAAATGTGAGTAGATACGAGGCTTTTGTCTGCCTATAATCGTTTTTTTTCTGGCCTTTTAGTTTTCACAAATTAAGGGAACACCTCGTAATTTACTTGAATAGCTTTTGGCATAAAACTTATTTTATTCATTGCATTTTAAAAGGACAGCAGTAAACTCAGACTGACTATCGCTGCATCTGATGATCAAGGGCAAGAATCCAAGGGAGTAAAATTACTTGGCCACGGTTTTTAGCTGCTTTGATTCTTCATTCTTATCTATCCCGTTGTTTCACTGTAGGCCAATGCAGTGGAGCGAGGAACATGATGTGCTTTTTCTGAGAGAAATGCTAGCAAGAAATGTTTTTGGAGCAAACAAAGTAAGTCCCGCTCGTGGATTGGCTCGGGAAGCGATAGTTGATCATCTGAATGAGATCCACTCTCCATAATTCCAACTGAAGGTTAAAAAAGCTGTACAAGAGCGGTGGAACCTTCTCCGAAAAAAGTTCAGCAAAAAGATGAGTGAGGAAGGGAAGGCAAGTGAGATTTCTGTGGAAGAATTAACGGAAAGGAATCACTGATCGAGGAGTTAGTCGAGAGAGAAGATGCCATACAAGCAAAGGCTGAATTAGCATCGAAGCAGGAACTCAAGGACAACGAGACTGCGGAAGATATCGGGAAAAAGCGACGGAGAGCCTTAAAGAGACCAAGAAACGCAAGTCAGACTAAGGTGGAGCTTCTCCAAAACGTCGTAAGTCGAGACTTTCAGAACCACTAGTCGACTTTTTGCAAGAGAAAGCAGTGGCCGACCGCGAAATTAGACAACAGGAGTTACGTGCAAGACAACAGGAATAGGAAAGTCAACAGGAAATGATGAAAGCTATGATGATCCTTCAGCAGCAACAAATGAATACTGCACTTTTGACTGTTGTGCAAAAGCTACTAGACAACTTATCAGCTATCAAAATGTTTTTATTTAAAACATATGTTGTTGTTGTATAAGATTTAAGCTTAACGTTTACATGTATTTCAGAACTTTTAAGATTGTATCTTGGACTAGTTATATAAATTGGAAGCCCCATGTTCACAAGTATACATACTTTGAAGAATAAATGTTTTCAATGTTTATTTTGTTTGCTTTTAAATCTGATGACTGGAAATACTCCTCTAGAGTAGGAGGCTCCAGGTCGAAAAATTCAGACGTCTGATTACCATATAAACAAGTTATGGCATTTCGCAGTAAAGCACATACAATATACATTTTTCCTATGCTGCTTAGACCTATCTTTTTAAATTTTTCTTGTAATCTAAAAACTTAAAGGAATTTAATGTGTCTCCAAAAAGTCATTCCACGGACACTCATACTGCACTCATTGCTTTATTATAATCTTCCGTTTATTGGGTTAGACGTCCCTGGCGATATGGTGCCTGAAGATGAATCCGGAGGGGATAAGCCGGATCACCATAAACGCACATAGGTTGGCCACCTGGGGAAAAGGCGAAGTTCCCCATGTCATTCAGAAGCCCAGAGTCAGCGAGCATACCCGCGTCATGTTTTCGTCCCTCTGAAACAAAAGTTCATAAAAAAGTCTTGGGAACCCATATGAATAACATTGTAATTAATCTTATTAAGATTCAGTGAAAATATTTAAGTTCTTACCTACTGGCCCAAAGATGTTTCCTATAAGTCCATTCGGTAAGACAATGGACTGAAATTTTAGTCCATGAACCCTTTTGTGTCCATTATACACAATCCTCTGTCCATTCCCAGGTCTAGATTGGTCGGACCATCCCATCTATGAAACCGAAGCAGTTATTTAGAGGAGATCCTTTCTTTGAAATGGTTTCAGAATACTGTTGAGGAGCAACTGAGCTTAGTACATCTCTATTCCACTCTGTTACGAGATGACAGTAATTGTCATAAATAAAATCCATGACTTCATTTGTAATTAAACTCAAAGCAGAAACTGGTCTTGGAAAATGTTGAATCATATCGCTGAATCTGCAGGATTAACTTGTTCGTCTCAGCAGCACACACGGTCCCTCCAAACCATCACAAATGCTTTTCTGTTTGCAATGGAACACTGCAGGAAGATGTAAGGTAAGGAATATGCAAGGCGAGGAAGGTCTGCCTTTTCAACACGAAATTCGGCCTTGCAGTCAGTTGCATTCATGTTTTGTTGATCGAAAACATCATACAATTGATAGCCGAAATCTGGTTTTTTTTGAACGATAACAGTCGTAAAATGGAACAAATTCTTCGTCCAAAATGTTGTTGTCTACATAGCTAAGCAAAAGTATCTCTTACAAGTCTTAAATTTATTAATTTTCAAAGAACTCGGCAAGTTGCTGTCGGAAAATGAAGGGTGCTAAAGGTTTATATTTTGGCGGGAACAACGCTGTCCTTGCCCCAGTCTCTTTTGTCCACCGACGTCACCGCCACTATGAAAACTCTCGGTGCTAAAGGTACTAATGTAAACTCTCCAGTGCGTAATAACAAGAAATGGCCACAGGTAATTGCCGCCTGGTAGACAATGTGGAGTGGAAGGTCACAAACGGATGAATTTTTGCAGCGAAGATTAAAAGGTAATTGGCATCTCCCGTTTCAGTGGGGTGAAATGATTCCGTTTGATATTATGCAGAGTTTGCTTCAGTCAGAGACCAGGAATCAAGGGGTTGTTGTAACTATTAGAAACATGAAAAGAGTGAACACCGGCAAAGGTAAACATTAATGAACTTAGGCTTTATACGTGCTGCCAGGGAGGTGACAAACAAGATTAAGGTGTCTTCTGATACAAGTAAGGGAGTGAAACCATAAGTATCACAGAAGCTGAGGAACTGTCTCTCTGCAGCACCGTAAGTCTGGTGAGTAGTGTCCATGAGACCAGCGCAAAACTACTTTTGGGTATTTACATGAAGGTGGTTGAGGGAACACGTTGCAGGAACGTCCTATGCTCGCTGGCCGTTGGACAGAGGTAGTACAACTTGGTTACCTGCAATGACATTGGCAGTTGTTGTGTCTCGCAGAATTGAATGAATCAAACTAGTACAACATAACAAGGTTTAATCAAACATGGCAGGTTACATTCAATGACAGACGCACATGGCGTGCGTGCGCATAATAGTAACAAAGCCACAGACCATGTGCAACATAGCATTCTTCCCCCCTTAAATCACATTATATTAGTAACGCACAAGTTCAGTTCAGTTACAGGTTCAGTCTCTTTGGTGGCTTCTGTAGCCGAAGGGGATAACGTCTGCATGGTGGTGTTGCCGGACTGCTAATCATGGTCTCACTTTGGCTGCTGGTAGGGTTGTCAGGGGTGTTGTCCACATGTGTATCTTTGGTCCGTGGTTCCTCCATGCCACTCATAGTGGGAGCCTGTAATTCTTCATTCTCCACGGTACTTGCTGATTGTGGTGTTGCTGCCAACACCGCTGGGTTTAATCGTGGTGTGTACTGTTCCTTATTAAAGTTTGGAGTCACTGCAGACTCTCTGAGTTGATCAATATGCTGTCGCCATACTGTATTGGGTGCAACCTTGACTTCATATGACAAGGGTCCTGAGTGAGCTGTGATGATCCCTGGAACCCACTTGTTTCCAGCTCTGCAGTTTCAGGCAATGACAGCTTGGCCTAACTCTAGCTTTCTGGCAGGGCTGTGAATTGACTGTAACTCTTGATCTTGCTGTTTGTCTTCCACTTGCTTCCGTAAGTTAGGCTTCAGTATATCAAACCTTGTCCTGATGTTTCTCCCCATGAGGAGCACAGCTGGTGTCTCTCCAGTCAAGGCATGTGGGGTTGATCTGTAGGCCAGCAAAAAGTTTGCCAGCTTCCAAGAGATAGATTTCTTTTCCGCCAGTGCTGCGCAGAGAGCTTGCTTGATTGTCTGTGCAAAACGTTCAGCCATTCCATTTGTGGCTGGGTGGTACAGAGCTGACTTAATGTGATTAATACCATTACTTTGTCGCATGAATTCTCTGAATTCATCTCCTATGAATTGAGGTCTATTATCGCTTACAAGCTGTTCTGACAAGCTGTGTGTGGCAAAGAGCTTTCTTAGTTCCTCAATTGTTCTGCTGGCAGTTGTAGTGGTCATCAGTATCACTATGGGCCATTTAGAATGTGCATCTACAACAATCAGAAACATAGTTCCTAAGAATGGGCCAGCAAAGTCAATGTGGATGCGTTGCCATGGTTGTGCTGGCCACTCCCGTGAGTGGAGTGGAGTGGTCTTAGGATTGTTCTGGGTAGGCCAGTGCACCCCTTTGCTACTTCTTCAATTGCTTTGTCCATCCCTGGCCACCACATGTAGCTCCTGGCCAAGGCCTTCATCTTAACGATTCCAAGGTGGCCTTCATGAAGCTCAGCTAACAGTTGTGCCTGGTGCTTGGGTGGGATTATCACTCGTGAGCCCCACATAAGGCAGCCATCTTGTAAGGTGAGCTCATCTTTCCTCCTCTGAAATGGCTCCAGCTCCTTCTCTCTAACAGTTGGCCACCCTTGCTTTGTGTTTTCCATCACACGTGACAAACCAGATCTCTCTGGGTTGCTTTTGACGGATCATATCTGCATTGACTGGCAGCACTTCTATCCGGGATACTTGAGAAATCTCCACTGGGTCAACCACTTCCTTGTCACTGGCTAGTCTCAATGGCCATCCAGGATCATAACAGGTGAGCACCATATCTGATGTGATCAGCTTCTTTGCTGAGTGGAAGGCCTCCTCGCACTCTGTGGTCCATCTCCATCGTTTTCCTTGCTCCAAGAGTACATTAAGGGGATTGTGTGTGGTGGCAAGGTTTGGCAAGAACTTGTGGTAGTAGTTTACCAGGCCTAAGAATGAACGGAGTTGCTGGACATTCTCTGGTCTTGGGGCATTAACAACTGCATGAATTTTCTCTTGAATCTTGTGTAACCCGTGCCAATCTACTTCGTGTCCACGGTAAGTGATCTTTGTCTGGAAAAACTCGCACTTCTTTTGGTTTGCTCATAGGCCATTTGCCTTCCTCCAGATATTCAAGGTGCTCTTTGTCATCTTTTCCTGCGACAATCATGTCGTCTAAGATGCAACTAGCTCCCCTTCTAAGATTTGATCCATAGATCTCTGCCAAATTGCTGGGGCTGAAGTGATCCCAAATACCAGGTGGTTGTATCGGTACAACCCCTGATGGGTGTTAATTGTCAAGTACTCTTGAGCCAGTCATGCTTCTGAAATTTCTATTTTACTGTCCCTGTTGATATTGTTACGGTTAATTGCCTCTCTGACCCTGCGTGTGTAGCTGTGGGTATACTTTCAAGCAAAACTAAACAGTTCATGATAGAAGGCGGTTGTTAAATCAAATGGCTTTTCCAAAGTGGGACCTTACACCTAGAAGAAAGGTTGATTAACTTCCAATTTCTCCTTACAAATGATTTCCACTTTCATCACTGGCTTCTTCATCCTTATCACTGCCTTTATCATACTCAAGCTCATCTCTGGCTTGCTCCTCTGTCGGATTATCTTCTCTAGGTCCTCCAATATTCCTGTTCATTGGCTTCTTTGAATAAGACATTTATGGGTTTTTCAGAATCAATGCAGTGTCACTGGTATTTATACTCAGGGTGAGTGCCATGCTTTGCCATGGTTGTCTCTTGGCACATTGTCCACTGTCGCACTGCTGCTCCATACACTGAAGCCCAATCCCGCATAATCACGCAATTTGCTCTAGAAATATCAACAATAGGAAGTGGCTTCATCAAAGGGACTTTAAAGAATGGTTTTGTCTCCTCTGGCTTTGGGTGCCATGACTTCCTACTTGTATGATGAAACATGACCCATTGTGTCACCCTCTTGATTAATTCTTTCATCGTAAGTCCAAAGGATCTTACGTACTCCATCATGGATATGTTCACCTGTTTGACATGAACAGTGGAATGACAATTCTCTACGTCCAGTGTCATACAACTCAAGAGATTAGTTTAACTGTAATTGAATGGTTGCAGATTGTTTCGTGCTCAAATCTTATAATTACTGACCCTCATAAAATCTTATTGTTCTCTCTCAGCATTATATCGGCGATTTCAGTTGCATTGTTGGTGTACCAAAACATCAATATGAAGGGGCGACTGAAATCGTCGATGTAATGCAGAGAGAGAACAATAGGATTTTATGAGGGTCAATAATTATAATAGTTAATTACTGAGGTTCGCAGCATTATTGGGTATAATGCTGCGAACCTCAGTAATTATCTATTAATTATTGCACTCTAGTCGAATGGCAAGTACACAAGATCACGTGACTTCTAACGAATACATTAGCATATCTGACATAATTAAGCGAGCATACATTAGTCACGTAACATCCCCCTTCCTTTGGGATGACAACTTGAAAACAATAATCACGATAACATAATCAATGTTCCTTAATCAAATGTCAAGTCCAGTTTCTAACAAATGTTCAGAGTCCTTAGTGCAAATAGTCCTTAAGGTAGGCAGGTTCGCTGACGGTCCTTTTGGGGCGCTGTGCTACAGGAGCATGTACTACTTACTGATTGGCCCCCAACTGGACCGATGCTTCCTGGGTGCTGTTGACCCCAGCTTGAATCTTTTCCTGATTCTTGTTTGGAGTGTCTGACGGCGTCTGTTCAGAGGTTTGTTGGACTGGTGGTGTCCGCTGTGGGGACCTCTGTGGTATGCACAGGACGAAATTGCAAGAATCCGTATACGGAAACGTGGCAGAAACATGTTAAACCGTTCCGGAAACACGACGGATAACCTGTGTTTCCGTTACCGGTTTCGTGACGTTTTCTCGCGTTTCCGTTGCTGCGTATACAACGGAACCGGACCACTTTTTGTGCATGTTTCCGTCAAGTTTCAGCTAAAGGAAACAAATGTTTCCACAATCGTAATTTCGGGTTTACATTTGCGGAAACACAAGAAAACGTTGCGGAAACATGTCTTTTCCATGTTTCCATTGACGTATTCTGGGCTACTGAATGGGTGATGGAACCTGCGCAAACACAAGAAACCGTTCCGGAAACTGAGGTCTGTTTCATGTTTCCGCTACAGCTTACGTCTCGGAAACGTGTTAATTCAAATTTATCTTACCCTTGCGGAAACTTTCTAGCTTTGGTAAACCTTTTTTTCCCTCTTTCTTTCCGAAACCCACCCTTATAATGTTCATGGTAGGTGGAAAGTCTTATTAATTAATTTACAGAACACCTCTTATGGCGTTTTCCCCTTCAGTCAAAGAAATACTACAGCTATGTTTTGCCAAAGCGTCATTTATTTTTCTTCCATAAGATAAGGTTGTAGTTAAATAGAGCTTCAATTCATTACAGAGCCTACTATTCGCAAAATACTTGTAGTATATACATCTACTTTGGTCTCTATGTCAGACTGGGAAAGAAAACTTTTCACCATTTAACAAATCGCATTCCAAATTTCTTTTGAGCAAATGTTACAATGGCTGTTCTGAGCACTATAAATGAAAACAGGCATAAAGTTTGCCAAGAACAATGAACGTCTTTATAGTGTTTTCTAAAATAATGTCTATTCTTAGGAACCTCTCAGTCCAATTATTCAGTACGAATTGCCCAACGAGGGCCATTGGTGGGGCAAGGCCGTACAGATGGCTCTTCGGTTCTGGTCAAACGTGCACTTGCACGACGCTGCTTTTCGCCAAGTCCTTCCAAATAGGCCTCGTCCAGTTTTGCTTTCAAATTCTTCAGTTTACTTTCCCACACCAGTTTACGTACTTTCCTTGGTTTCGGACCCCTAGATGAAGCAGGATCATCGTTGTTGCTTTCTTCCGATGACATGAAGTCGATGGCATTTGGCGAACAGAAAATTTCTCTTGCCTTTTCTTTGTCGTTGTCCGACAAGATAGCCTTCTCTAAGCTTGAAAGGCGTCTTGATAGTTTCTAAACGATATAATCATAGAACAAAAGTGTCAAAAAATGCGCAAGGAGCATTTTGGCTATCACCAATGACACCTTGCTGTTACAAGATATACATGTACTTCCCTCTGTTAAAGATTACACTTTTTTTTTTAACTTAAATTGTGAGTATTATACAAAACAAAGTGTATATATAAAAATTGATAAGTTTCTTTGACAAAGCAACACAATTAATTAAATGACATGTTATCAAGGACAAAATATGTATTTATCGTGTTAAACCATAGAAAAGAGCTCGAATACAGGGATTCATTTATTAGAAATAGCTGTAACGCGATGTATAGCTAGGATCAAGCTCAACATTCCTGAACATTTGCTCATATGGTTCTCAATCTGATACTTACTCTCTTTAATCGATTTTGTTGCTTCATTTGACTTCGATGTTCTTCAAACTTTTTATTTGTTTTTCTTGTTCTGTCATCCCGAAGAGATTTCCAGTATTGATGAACCGCGCCTAAAAATGAAACAGGGCTGTTCATTACTGTCACGTTTCATCAAAAATAACTGAAAGCATGACCGTTTCATTTAACTAGCGCAGAACGACAAAAAGTTTAAACAGCAGCAAGCACGCTCTTGCAGTTCTGAAGGCGTTCTCTATCTTTACTGGTAAAATACGTATTTCATTTAAGTAGCTATACAGTTAGTTCAATCGTTTCTATGGGATGATCCGGATCAAGATTGGTGATCCGAGACCATTAGGATCACTGTGCATCAAAGGAACTGGTGAATCCTTGTTCAGAGTGGATTTAACCATGATCCGAGTAATCTCGGGTAATCTCGGATCATCCCAAATAAACGTACTCAAGTCAGTTTACTGTGCTAATATACGCTAACCCTAAACGTAGAGTAGTATTGCAAAAAGCGAAAAAAAGGAAACCAACGGGTATTACTTGCTTGTGCTAAAAAAACCAACTTACTCTTAATGACAGCCTTTGTCCACTTGTCCTTGCTGTACACTGAGCGGACTTCTTTTAGCACTCTCCTAGCCATAGTTTTATTTTCTGGGCTATTAAAACTGAAAAAGGTATAAGATATCAATTTAAGAATTTTACTCAGCTAAATTAAAGGTGTGAGAGCAAAACTGAATAGAAGCGACCACATACTGTATAGCCAATCATAACGGCAGGTAATTTAGTGCAACAATCAAACAGCCAATGAGATAAGTTTTCGAATTATTTATCCGATTGTTGTTTGTTTTGCTTTAGACCATGGCGAGCCTATTGTTTCCCTGTCGAGAAATTTTGTTTATTTTATAATAGCCCAAGGAAAGAGAGCACACTCGTAATGTCCTTGCTTAATTGCATGCATGCACTACCTACACTATGTGTTGCCCACAAGTATAAAATTCACTTAGTTATTTTTACGTTGCAAGCTAGCATGGCCTAAGATCTTGTTTAACAATAACTAAAAGCTCCTCCATCGTCGCCACACAACAGGTCAACTCTTTTTGAAGTCGAGGAAAAAGCGAATAGCTATTGTAGCCGGCCTACTACACCTCAGCTGTAACTATACATTAGCTCCGTTTTGTTTTACCTGACGCTCAAATCAAAGTTAAGCTGATTCTCCTGATCTTCTTCTTGTCCTTCACCCTTTGTTAGTTCCTTGCACACTTTCCTGACAGCATTCTTGTATTTTGTAAAATAAATAAATAAAAACAATGTCAAAACAAACTAAAAACAGCAAGTTGATTATTAGCTGGAAGTTCATAAAAGCAAAATTAATTTAAAAAATGCCGTAGCGAATTGGGACTTTTAAAAAGCTGTCGCTTTTAACGTAACTTCCTCCTCGGATCGGAGCAAAGTGATCTAAGTGACTTTGCTCTGTGGAAGCAGCTCAATACTTCATACTTTTGGTAAGATGTAGCAAAAAACTGCAGATCCGTTTGCAGAAACATGACGGAAACGAACAACGGCGGAAATGTGCTGGCTTAAATATTTCTCGCAAGCAAACTGTGGGCCATTGTCACTTATGACGATATCTGGTATGCCTTGTGTCGCGAAAAGGCATTTCAGATTCTCTATGACAGTGCTGGCTGTTGTGTTAGGAAGGTGGTCGATTTCCCAGAAATTTGAGAAATAGTCAACAACGATCAGGTAGTCCTGGCCATTGATGGTGTACAAATCTGTACCAATCTTCTCCCATGGGCGTTCTGCAATTTCATGGCTCATCAAGGACTCTCTCTGCTGCCTCACCTCATATTTGCTACACGTCTCACATTGTGAGATGTACTCTTTTAGCTCGGCGGTCATGCTGGGTCAGTACATGCACTCTCTAGCTCTCCTCAAACAGCCATTGAAACCGATGTGTGAGCTGTGAAGGCGTTCTTTCATCTTTGGCCGCATCTGTTTCGGGATGAGGAGTCGCTCTCCTTTGAAGATAAGACCGTCATAGACGCTCATCTCGTTCCTGAAGCTGAAGTAGGGTGCAAGTACTGCTGGAAGTTCTTGCTTTTCCTCTGGCCAATCAATCTGGATGACTTCCTTTAACTGCTGCAACACGTCATCATCACGGGTTCTGCTTTAACTCCTCCAGTCTTTCATCAGTCATTGGCAGTAGTTTGACTGCGTTTACACGTTCGAATTCCCCTTGGGTATTCTCAGTGGTGGGAAGAAATGCCCTGCTGAGGGTGTTTGCGAGGTACATCTCTGGACCTGGTTTGTAGACAATGGTCACGTCATACTTCTGAATCTTCAACAGCATCCCTTGTAATCTCCTGGGAGCGCTTCGGAGTGGCTTGTTGGAGATGGCTGCTAGCGGCTTATGATCACTCTGAACTGTCACTGAGCGACCGTAGACGTACTGGTCAAATTTCTGTAGCGAAAATACTACTGCCAGCATCTCCTTCTCAATCTGTGCATAACGTGTTTCTGGGTCTGTCAAGGCACGGCTTGCAAAGGCTATGGGTTGCCCATTCTGCATGAGAGCAGCCCCAAGTCCCTTTTCACTTGCGTCACATTGCACTGTGAGTTCCTCACCAGGGTTGTAATACTTCAACAAGGGTGCCTCTGTCACAAGCTCTTTGACCTTCTCAAATGCTGCCTCGTGTTCATGTTGCCATTGCCATGGAACATCTTTACGTGTCAACTGCTGTATGGGTTCTAGCACCTCTGCCAGCCGTGGCAGAAATTTTGCAAGATAGTTCACGAACCCGCAGAATCGCCTGACAGCTTTGACATTGTCTGGCTTGGGCATGTTGTGTACGGCCTCAATCTTTTCTGGGTCAGGTCTCAGGCCATCTGCTGTGACCAGGTGTCCAATGTAGGGTATCTCTTTACATAGCAGCTTTAGTTTCTTCTTGTTGAGCTTCACTCCTTGCTCTCTGCACCGCTGTAAGAACTGCTGCAGCTTGTTGTTGTGGTCAGCAGTTGCCTCCTCGTCTGTCTCCCCTACTCGATAGATGACCATGTCATCGTGTACTGTCAGCAGGCCATCTAGTCGGTCAAGTGCTTGGTTCAGCCTCTTCTGGAATATCTCACTGGCCGCACTGACTCCAAATGGAAGGCGTTTCCACCGGTACCTGCCATAGGGAGTGTCAAAAGTCGTCAGCCTGCTCGACTCGTCATCCAGTTTTACATGCCAGTAGCCGTTTCTGGCATCTATTTTCGTGAAAACTCTTGCTCGTGCAAGGCTTGGGAGTACATCATCTATCACAGGCAGTGGGTATCTCTCTCTTCAGTGCTTTATTCAGTTGCTGCGGGTCTAAGCAAAGTCTCAGATCACCCGATTCCTTTGTTGCAATGACAAGGTTGCTCACCCAGTCGGTGGGCTCATCAACAGGCACCAGTACACCAATGTCTGTCAGTCTATCAAGCTCAGTTTTGAGCTTCGGTTTAATGGCGAATGGCACTCGTCGCGATGGTGCAATGGTGGGAGGCACAGAAGGGTCAACGTCAAGGTGCTGCAGTCCTTCGAGTGTCCCCAAATCGCCCTCAAATACGTCACGGTATTCTTCGATGATTTCTTGTGCTGTTTGGGACTTAGTATTTGCCACTTTCGCTGCAGCGATTTTCTCGAAATTCTCTTCGTGTACTTCAATAAGTCCCGTCTGCTGTATCACTGCTGCGCCTAGCAGTGGGGTGGATTCTCCTTGACGACGATGAACTCTACGGAGTACTTCTTTTGATTCCCAGGATTGCGTATGGTCACGCGGCAGATTCCTTCAGGTTTAAGTTCAGTCTTATTCCACATCTGCAAAACACGTTTCGTCGGCTGGATATCTTCTTTGTTGACGTATTTACTTGGCAAAACATTTACGGTTGCACCGCAGTCGATATGGAACTTAATGGGCTTCTCGTTGATAAGCATCTGTGCGTATATTTCACGTTCCGAGACGCTGTTGACAGTTCCTGTCATCTCTGGTTTCGAGGTCACGCAATACAGGAATTCTTCCTCGCTGGTTTCGTCTTCTTCAAATTCGACATTGTGTGTTTTCTCTCTTGCTCTGCACTAGGATGCGAAGTGGTTTTTTTTTCCACATGCTCCACAAATACGGCCCCAAGCGGCGCAATTGATTCTGCCTTTACGATGTTTTCGCCCACAGAAATCACATGGCCTGTCGCTTGTGTTGTCATCGTTGGGTTTCAAGTTCGGATTATCTCGGCCCGTTTGCTTCGGGTATTTGCGCTCTGGTTTCTTCGGTCTCTCCATCTTCACCTTACGGACATCTTCAGGTTCCTGTGTAGTCTGATCCATATTCATAAGCTGTGTGTTCGAGACTTCGTCGCTTTTCGCGATCTCGATGCACTTTTGCAAAGTTAGTTTGCCTTGACGCAATAGGCGTTTGCGCGTTCCTCCATCACGTAGGCCAAGTACGATTCGGTCGCGGATGAGTGTGTCGTGTAAACACGTGCAGAAATTGCATGTTTGTGCAAGTGTCCGTAGTTCTCCTACGTAGTCAGCTATGGATTCTCCTTCCTTTTGATCGCGGCTGTTGAAGTCGTAACGCTCGTACGTTTCGTTCGTCTCACTGATCGCAAAATTGTCAAATTGCTTGATTATCTCGGACAGCTTGCGCCGGTTTTCGTCGCTGAGGTCAAAGCTGTTATAAATCTTGACCGCGTCGGGTCCTACTGAGTAAAGGAATAATGCCACTCTGTATTCCTCCGTCTACTTGTCGAGCTGTGCTACGATGGAGTAGTTCTCCCATTGCTGTTTATAAACTTTCCAGTTTACGGCCTTGTCTTTCGCCGACAGTTTTAAGCCAGTGGGCGGTTGTATGCCCTGCATCATCGGAATTTGCTGTGAGGGGTTTCCACTCCAAGACGGCGGTGGATCAGGCATCTATACGGTTTCAAGATTCGTTTCTGCGTACTGAACGGATTCAGGGTTCTTTTCTGCGCTCGAACTCAAACGGTGTAAAGGTTTGACGAGCTTTCACGCTGCCACCAAATCTTTTATTGCACTCGTGCTCAAATCTTTTATTGCACTCTAGTCGAATGGCATGTACACAAGATCATGTGACTTCTAACGAATACATTAGCATATCTGACATAATTAAGCGAGCATACATTAGTCACGTAACACAGATTACTGTACAATCTCTGCAGCCCTCATTCAAGAAGTGCAACTGAGGCCATGGTCCTGGCGGAAACATGACCCTGAGGTCCATTAACAGCACTTGTTATGCCAGTACTCATTCAGATCTGGTTGATGTTGCTCTCTAGAAGCTCTTTACACTGGTGGACAAGGGAGAGCGCTTCGTTGCCAGACTTGACAAAGTAACTTGTTCCTTTACAATGGATGTAAAAGGTGTCAAAAAGCTGACCGGTGGAGTTGAGAAATTTGGCGTACTTAACAGGAGATTCTTAGGCGTGGGAAATTCTATTAGGGTCCCGGTTTAAAACACACTTCAGACATTTTTCATGTGCTCTCAACTCAAAGCTTTTTTATTTGTTCCAGTCCCCACACGGGGGGTAGCGCCTGGCGCTTACAAAAAACAAACAAACAAACAAACGATCGCGTGTCCATTAACCATTTTAGTGCAGATCTTG